AATAATTTTATATTGTTTATTCTGACTAAACACTGTAAAAGTCTAACAGCTGAGCTATTTTTAACCCTCCTTTATGATGTGTAGGAGTTTTGAAAACAACTGGAATACGTACAAGCTGCTGGCTCACATCAATCCTCCAGATACTAAGGTGAGCGACCTTCACCTTCTAAACCAGACTCGTCCTGACTCCCTGTTGTTACTGAATCATATTAAAGGACCTTCAGCTGTCTCATTGTGTCCATCTGTCGCTGGCAGAGTAACATCAATGTGGCCATTATGAATATCGGCGCCCCCTGTGCTGGTATGAACGCTGCCGTGCGTGCAGCGGTGAGGATGGGCATCATCCAGGGTCACTCCATGCTGGCAGTCCATGAAGGTTTCGACGGTCTGGCTCAAGGACAGGTAATAATTTTTTTGGTAATCTGTTATCCTTTTAAACCAGAGAACCAGCGTCACACGTGCAAGAATCTTCTTCCTACTTCGATTACGAAGACTAGAACTGCTTTTTGTTGCCTCTGGTGTTTTGTTCCCTGTCAGATCAAAAAATATGAGCATAACACATCCATCAAACAGCGACGACAACTGTTATATTATCGCACGTGGTGGTCACAATGGCAAGAGATTAAGTATGAATGGCGACAAACATGCAAGACATAAAAAGGCTAACAAAGCACTGAAAACACATGTTAGAAGAATCTGTACTTTAATGAGCACCAAACTGGGAGGTGGTTCCACAGAAGAGGGCTGAAAACTAAGGGCTCTGCCTCCACTTCTACTTTTAAATACTCCAAGAATAACAAATAAGCCCCCAGTCTGAGAAGAAAATGCTCTTGTAGGATAATTATGGGGCCTGATTATGTATGTGAGGAGAAGGATTTTAAAAAATATCCCTACGTTGTTGTTGTTAACTGCTTGTTGCATCAGAGAGAGAGAGAGAAGTTGCTGTGGTGAAGTTGTTGACTGGACTCAGTACTCAGTGAGTGTGTGAGTGTGTGAGTGTGTGTGGCATTAGTTGGTTCAGTTGTTGTTCAGTTGATTAGCTCGGAATTTATATTGGGAGCAATATAAAAGCCCCTGTACCCATGAAATTGGAGCTATTCCCATTGAAGCCCTATTTTGCATCTTTGTGTCACGTAAAGAAAAAAAACGGGCCTTTCAAAATAAAAGACCTCTGCTTCTCTTCTGTTTTTATTGGGTGGGGTCAAATGCAGATACATGCTTTCAAATAATTCAAGTAAGTCATTGCTTTCATGTGTTGTGAGGGACCAAGCAGCCAAAGCAAAGAGGACACAGGCAAAAAAGTATCTTCAAAAAGGGGTTTCTTTATTTTAACCCTCAAAAAGTCCAAAATTAACAAAATTCAAAAACATACTTAGCAGGCCCATAAAAGAGGTCAACTAAATATAACTCTACAAAAAGGAATTTCCAGAAACTTAAACAAAACAAAGTGAGACACAACTTAACTC